TGTTTGTTGAATGACTGAAAAACCACACCCTACCCCAAGTGTCCATTGGTGAAACGGAGCCATCACATGAAGGTCAAGTGGAGAGAACTGAGGAGGGGCCTGGTCTCAGGGGGTCAGGCTGAGCTGGGATCTGAAGTGTGTGGGGACAGGGGGTGGTATGTGGGCCCCCAGAGGAGTTGTGACAGTGGCCAGGAGGTTGACATGGCTGTACTTGAGACCCCCCAGCTGGAGGCAAGATGTGAGCTCAAAAGTGACAGCCCTGTCCCTGCATCCCACTAGGAAGTCTCTGGCTTTCCCAGAGGGGACAGAGACTGAGCCCCATGCCTGGCCCGAGCCCGCGGACCCAGCCACACTGGACCAGGCCTCTCCTGGCTGCACTCATCCTTGAGGAAGCCGGAGAGCCCAGGCTGCTGTCCTGCATCCCTTGAAGGCTCTGTGGTTTATTGACCCAGCACAGCTATCGATTTGTTAAGAGCTTTTGCGCTTCCCTTCGACAGGGAAATATCACTCCTGCCCGGCTACCCTGCACTGAAAGTGAGAAGGTTCTCTTGCCCAAACCATAAATCTCTATCTGGGCGTCTCTGCGCCAGGTCAAGTGACCACCTGGGGGCAGGCAGGGAGCCAACTAACGGCCCCTCAGGGTCGGGCTGCCTAAGGCAGCCGCTCACTGCCCCCGATGTGATGCTTACCCCAGTCATCCCATGGCCCAGTTTTCCTGGGACCCCAGAGACCCATGGTGACCTCCTCACAGTTCACACACTACAGTCAGGATAGGGCCCTGCCTAGAGCACTGTGGAGTGCACAGCCGGCCCCACCTCTTACCAGGCTGGACAGCAGCTGCCCCAGGTACCCCTCGGGGCCCTGGCCTCAGGGGAAGGGGCCACCTCACCTGGCACAGGCACCTGGACCTGCCGTGTTTGAGGCCCAGCCCAGGCAACTCTGTGTCCCCAGGACGTGTCCCACTGCATTCTGACACCCTGCCTGTGCTTCATGACCGTGACTTGTTTTGGGGTCTAAAGTCCCAGAAGAACCCGTCTCCGAGTAGCAGGGCAGAGCATGGTGGTCACCATCCTCCTCCCCAGGTGGTGGGACTTGGAGTCACACACCAGGCCCACTGCCCTCCCTTGCTCAGAACTGAGCTCCATAGTTCTAGGCCATCAGGAGCCTCAGAGGCCCCAGGACCCCCAGCCACTGTCCTGTAGCCCCAGCTATGTGACAAGCAGAGAAACTGAGGCGGGGGCAGGGTAGGGCACCACCCAGAGGAGGCCCATTCAGCTCACAGAGGCTCTGGGCAGTGGGTGCCCCAGGACCCCAGGCTCAGCAACAAACTCCCTCTGCAGGCTGGTGAGGCTGAGCGGTGAGGTCCCCCAAGCTCCTCACCACCTGCATGTGCAGAGCCGAGGCCAGAGGGCAGCCAGGCCCAGCCCCAGGCTCCCCACCGCCCGGGCCTACAGCTACTCCAGGACCACCCCGGCAGCTCTGAGCAACAGGGCCTCTTCTCCTGCATCACTCCCAGCCTCCAGCAAGAGCAGTCCCAGGGGCTCCCGATGTCCCCCATGCCACCACCCGCTTGTCCCCAGCTCTGGGGTCCCAGGTCCAGCCTCCCCTCAGAGGCCCTGAAACGTCACAGTGTCACTCCAAACCATCTCACCTCTCAGTGCTAAGCTGTCCCTGAGGACACAGCCCCTGCACCTCATCCTTGGGGCAGAGGGGCTTTTTGTAACCCAGTAGCTCCCACCCACATCTCCTGCCCTCTCCCCTCCCCTCCTCTCATCCCTGTCCTAGTGCAGCCCTGGCACCGCTCAGGGAAAGGTTTTATTTAGCTTCACATTCCCAGATACAATCGTTTGAACACAGGGTGCACAAAAAAAGTGGAAACTAGGCCATCCACGCCTTTTCCACACTGAACTGAGAATGCAGTGTGGCTTCACACTACCACGCATCTTCACGTGCCCTGGCCACATCTCCGGGCTCTGTGGCCACTGTTGGGGACAGCTCCTGACGCCCTCTGGGCTCCTTACTCTCCTGCATACCCACAGGGAATGCTGGCCCCGTTCCCCATCCTCCCAGGCCCCAGAACTTCACACTCCTTCTTCCAGGCTTGCAGCTTCGCCTCCGCCTACTGAGGCTCAGAACCCCAAGAAGCAAGGCTTGGGACGCACAGGGAAGGAAAGGGTGCAGGGCTGAGCACAGCCACCGGGACGCTGGCCAGGAAGGGCCACCTCACCCCACTCAGACCGTCCACAGCCCACAGATGTCTTTCAAGTCCTGTGGCCCCGTAGGGCTTGTCCTGACTCTGCAGTCTGTGTCATCTCCCCCCTGTGTAGGAACAGGTGTCTGCTGGGAGAAAGGTGGACACCGTGTGTAATCACACTCCTCACCAGACACACCCAGTTGACATCCAAGTCAGTTCCGGCTGTGTCATTGTCCCTGTGACGCTGACAGACAGGAACTCCCAAATTCTCCCTACCTGTTCATTCATTATCTCGATCACCATGGACTCCTGTTTGGCATTTTATCCTGAGGCTATCTTCCCATGATCAACATGCGTGCATGTGTGTGTGTGTATGTGTGTGTGTACTTGGGGGGGCACTGGGAATTGAATACAGGATCTTTGCACTGAGCTACATCCTCAGCCTAGTCCATAAGTTACCCAGGCTGGGTTTGAACTTGAAATCCTCCTGCCTCAGCCTCCTACATTCCTGGGGCTACAGGAGTGCACCCCCACACCTGGCTCTATTGCTAGTTTTGATGCTCACAACATCCTGGATTTGACCCGAAGGAGCCCTCCAGGCTGGCTCCCAAGTCTCTAGATGTGTCCCACTTCCTCTGAGCCTCCCTATTTATTCTCTGGAAGAGATGTTCAGGGCTCCTCTCCTGTCCCTGTCCAGCTGGGAGCCAGCAGTTTCCTGTCAGTCAGGTCTGGATCAGCTCTGCCCACACAGTGCAGTCCAGCCCCTCAGGATGGCATGTGCCTGTGGACAAGGCCTGCACATTTGTATCTATGTTTGTTCCTCATCTACCGAGGTGGCAAAACCAGCCCTGGGCCCCACCACGGAGGCCATCTGGCTCTGTCTGTCTGTTACCCTTTGTCCTCTGACTTCCCAGGAGGCGTGAGGGAAGGGAGGAGGGCACGAGAACCCAACTTTGTGTTGGCAAAGCTCACTTGGCAGTTCTGTGAACAAGAGGTAGAAGAATGAGGGGTGAAGCCGGGGCCAGAAGATCTAAGAAATGGTGCTTATAAGCCAGACATGGCGGTGCACGCTGGTAGTCCCAGCTACTTTGGAGCCTGAGGCAGGAGGATCTCAAGTTCAAGCCAAACCTGGGAATGTAGCGAGACTCTGTATGAAAAAATAGAAAAGGGCTGGAGATGTTGCTCAGTGGAAAGTTCCCAGTACTGAAGAGAGAAAGAGAGAAAGAGGGGAAGAAGAAGGAAGGAAGAAGGAAAGAAAGAAAAGGAAAGAAAGAAAGAAAGAAAGAAAGAAAGAAAGAAAGAAAGAAAGAAAGAAAGGAAGGAAGGAAGGGAGGGAGGAATTGTGCTTGTGGCACCAAAAGTCACATACAAGAAATGTTCACAACATTCTTACTCGTAATAGCCCCAGACTGGAAACAAGGGAAAGGGTAAATGGACTGCTGTCCAGGTGCAGTGTGGAAGACTACACCGCAGGGGAAAGGCCCTGGCTACAGATACACACAATGTGGGCAAGTCTCACAGACCTCAGCAAAGCCATCCAGACCCAGGAGAGACCCGGTGCGGGCTTCACTTACATGGAGCTCTGCCACACGTGATGAGGTGATGGGGTGCAGCTTGGCGGGGAGCATGCAGGAGGCCCTCGGTCCCATCCCCAAAGCTCCAGGGATAAAAAAGCAGGTGAACCCAGTTTGACTGAGCAGTTACCCCGCTTTGGAGGGCACCGCACCCCACTCAGGTGTGTTGACGGGAGGAGCAGGACCAGGATTTGGGGTGCTGGGTGGCTCCCTGGGGTAGCATGCAAACAGAGCCAAGGTCTCAGGGATGCACGAACTTCAGTCTTTGGTGCGTACCCCGCCTCTTCTGCCCTCAGTTTCCCTGTTGGTCCAGTGGGCACACAGTTCGCTGGGGAGCCCAGCGGGTGCCTCTGGGCCTGGCCTCCTCCTACCCAGAGCCCCTCCACCCCAGGGTCCCAGTTCCCCGGGCCCGTGAGCGCGGAGATGCTGACCCTGCAGGTGGGCACTCAGCTGGCCGGGGGCTGTTTGTGAGCACAGTGAGGGGGCAGCAAGGAGGAGCGGGGAGGCAGGTTTATAATGATGATTAGGCCTGAAATTGGCGGAGATTTACAGTGTTGGCCAGGAATGGAGGGAGAGGGGCCGGGGCTGGGAGCGGCCTAATGGATCCGTCAGCTCGTTCGGCTGCTCAGCGGGCCGAGGCGGGTCACCCGGCTTTCCGCTGGCAGCACAAAGCACTTCAATTTCGTTAGGAAATGTATCAATTTAACTGACTTGAGCGGCACACTGAAAAACCTAATGAATCTGGACTCAATTTTCCGCCACACTGCTCCTGAGAACTGTCGGAAACAATGTCTGTGGTCGGAGGTGACGGGGTGGCCGCCGATAGGCCGCCTGGGCACCCCTTCCCTGCCCGCCCCGGCCGGTGCCTTCCCTGTCAGGGTTAGTGGAGAGCGACGGCCCTGTCCCCACAGCCTGGTGACAGCCCAGGCCGGCCACTTCCCTAACAATGATGTCATTATAGCAAACTGGCCTCCATTTCAGCAGGACAGTGGTGCTAATTGAGTGAGAAAACATAATGCAGGGAGCTGTTGTCTGCAGCTGGGGCGGGGGTGACTAAGTGGCCCACCATTGTTGGTGTCAGGCAGGCAGATGTTGCGTTCTGTTGATAACTGCACTGACATCGCCGGAGCTTGTCACCGCAGCTTCTGCCCAGAGACTCTCGGCTCTGGCGGCAGATGGCTCTGCTGAATGGCCACGGAGGGTCCCAGCGGCCAGCCCGGCGTGTGGTGAGTAGGAAGTGGCTGCCTGGTAAACAGGATGGGGCTCCAGGGCCTCTCCAGGTCCCCTGGGGAGAGTTCCCCGGATGTTCTCAAGGCCTGAAGCACCTGCGACACTGGGATAGGATTGGCCAAGGCCAAAGCCAGGGTTCCTGGACAGATCTGGAAAACTGTCTGGGCCTGGGCTGGCAGGAGGAAGAGCTGGGTCCTCTAGCCTGGAGAGTAGGCACCAGCTGCCCCAAGGGTGGGGAGAGAGCCAGGGGTGGCCTAGGCCTGGGTGAGGGGACAGGTTTCCTAGAGGGTCCCCCACAGCTGCCAGAGCCCGAAGGCTGTGCCCAGTGCCCCAGCCCAATACAGCTACTGTGGAGTGGTCTTCTCCAAGGCCTCGGGGGCTCAGGGACAAAGCCCATCAGACCTCAGCCCGGGGCCCCTCGTTGGCCTGGCCCACCCACTTGGTGACTGCTAATCCACACACTGGGCCTGGTCCAGGGAGGTCTCCTGGGTTGGTTGGCTTATGTCTGTGGAAGTGGATATCTTAGATGTACCTCATAGCTAAGGGTGCACCCAGAGCTCAGGGCATGCACGCTCATGCTCCCTAGCAGCGAGCTGCTGCTGTAGCACTGGCAGACTTGGGTACCCCAATAAGCCTGATCTAGGACCAGCCCCACCCAGTCCACCTGAAGGCCCTCCAGGGTGACTGTCACAGGGGCCTTGGGCTGGGGACAGGGGCTCCTCCTCTGGGCCAGGATCTGGAGCCCTCCACTGCCCAGAGAGGTGACCTCAGAGCTGCCCTGGGCCGGCCAGGTGCTTTTTTTTTTTGGTACTGGGGATCGAACTCGGGTCCTTGCACTTGCGCAGCAGGCAGTGAAACCACTGAGCTAAATCCCCGGCCCTGGGCCAGGTGCTTTTGACAAGGACTCCCCAAGGCCAGGTTGGTGCCTGGCTCTAGGTGGCCTCATAATGAGCCAGAGGTGACCCCTGTCCTCCAGGGCCCCCAGGAGGCAGTGACGGAAGCAGCATTGAGGGATGAGCAGGGTTGGGGGATGGCATTCCAGGTAGAGGGCCCCACAATGCCTCAGGACTCCAGGGGACACCCCAGAATAACCCATCCCATGCAGGGAATGCTCATTGGATACCCAGCACTTTTCTCTCAGGCCCGTGGGAGCTCTGAAAGGAAAACTGAGGCCCTAAATGGGGGTTCTGCTCAGGCTGCCTGGGTGGTAGACCCTGTAGGAATCTGTCACCAGGAAGCTCCACACCCCATCACCCACCCCTCTTGTCTGGCAGCGCCTCAAGGGCCCAGTGGGATCCGTCCCTCCTGATCCCCAGGCAGAACGAAGCTGCTGTCCAGGTGTGGATGGGTAGAGCCCCAGGTTCAAATTTCAGCTCCATGGTGTGGGCAGCACTTCCTCGGGCCCTGGGGGGGCAGCTGATGACTCTCACGAATGGGATCAGAGCGAGGGGCAGGGGGACCAAACTCAGCTGGGTCTGGTGAGGGGCTGCAGCTCCTACTGCAAGCCTCCAGGGCAGATCTCTATCTTTGCTGATGCTCAGCAGCCCTGTCCCACACCAGGTCACCCTCCCAACACGTCAGACAAGGTGGCTTCACCATTATAGATTATTCTAGGTTTCACTCAACTCCAGATGGTTCTCTGAGATTTGTTTCTCTGTGCTTTTCTGTATTTTCCAGGTATTTCTCAAGGGCATTTTTTTTTAAGTACTGTGGATTGAATCCAGAACCTTTGCACTGAGCTGCATTCCCAGGACCCCCCTATTTAAAAAAAAATGTTTTTTGGATACAGGCTCTCTCTAAGTCACTAAGTCTCCCAGGCTTTCCATCCGCTTGCCTCAGCCTCCCAGAGCAGTAGGGTTGCAGGCAGGCACCTCCATCCTCAGCTCAGTGGAGAATTTATAATCAGAGGAATGAGGATGTGTGCGTAACCCACATTCGGATGTGGGTGGTGCTCTGATGAACCAACCAGGGACACCTGGGGGTCATCGCATGGGTGTGGCTAGGCTGCCCTTAGCACTGCCCCTTCCTGGGCCTGGGGCCTGGCCCTGAGTGGCCCCCTCCTGAGACCCCCATCCACACATGGACAGGCTGACTCCGGGTCTATGTGCCCATTGCACAGCTACAATGCACAGAACCACCAGCCCTGCCCCACCCCACTCCTCCAAGCTCACCTTGGGTCCCCTCAACTGAGAGCCAACCCTGGGCAGATGGTCAAATTTCTGTGACCACCATCAGTACCCGAGGGGCAGCCCATGTGCCTGGTTCTCTGAGGGCAGCTGAGAAGGTGCACGGCAGGCTCCTAATGGGTGCTGTGGAAGGGGTCCCTGGTGCATGCCAGGCCTCCCCAGGTAAACCCCAGCCAAGTGCTGACCTCTTAGCTTCCATTACATCCAGCTTCAGTTACATTCACCCCTGGGGCTCTAGAGGGACCTGGGGAAGACTGGTGGGGCCTCAGCTGGGAGGCTGGATGGTGACTCAGACAGGGTTTGGACTAGGGCAGGGGGAAGGGATATCCGGCCACAGGTGAGAAGCTGGGTGAGGCTTCAGGCCGCATCCTGGGCACCTCCAGGAGGAGAGGTCGGCCTTGTGCAGGAACCCTTCAGTGGGGTAGTCACTCATCACCTCAGACTCTGAACCTTACCGGGAAACTGACACCACCAGCAGGCTACCTCCCGGTGGGGGAGGGCAGATATGCTCTACTGCACACAGGTGAGCTGGTATCATTAACCAGAGTGATGAGCTGGTGGCTAAAGAGCGCTGGGCACCCAAGCAGCTGGACCAGAACTGACCCACTGAGGGGATGCCAATAGCAGGGAGACTGAATCTTGGACCTGCAGCCTGGGCACTGACCTGGGGGATGTGGGCCTAGGCAGGGTCTCAGCCCCCAACACAGACCAGCATGGGGCCAAGTCAGGGATCCAATGGACAGAGTGAGGGACAGGGGTCTGGGGGCTCTGGGCAGGGCTGGGGCTGCTTTGAGGAACCAGAGGACACGTGTAGGTTCCATAGGACTATTCCCAGCTCTTGGGGCTCCTCCTAGCCTAGCACTTAGAGTCATTGAGAATGATGCAAGTGACAGGTTTGTGTGTGTTTGTTAATTTACTTAGATTCATTCACAGGAACAGCTGGCTGGGTCCCGCCGGGCAGCCTCGCCTGCCCACCTGCCGCCAGACTGCTGGCTCCACACAGCGGTGCTCACAGCTCAGCGGCCGTGGCCCTGGCTGCCTGGACACCCACTCCTCCCTGGTGCTGGCCAGGGACCTTGCCTGGCATGGTTGGAGAGTGCTGGAGGGCCAGCCACGCCTGAACAGGAAACCAGTGCTGGACACCAGCCTAAGGGACTGGGCAAGCCCTCAACCCCCCTGGGCCTCTGTCTGGATCTTCCTGTTCCTTCCGGTTCCTCCATCCTGGAATTGGGGGACTCTAGGATGCCCAGCCCCTCAACCCTCTGCAACCCAGGGGGACTGGCCACCCAAAGCTGTGGTGTGGGTAGAACTTGTTGAGAGAGGAGGAAGAGCCAGACAAGTCCTGGCACCCCACCCTCTGATAAGCCCTGAAGGGGCCAGCCTGGGCTGAGCATAGAGGAGAGAATTCAGCCTGTGCCCTGCATCGGAGGGTTGTTGATCGCACCTACCAGTGCCATCACGTCTGGTCTGGGATGGTGACAGAGGTTTGAGCACAGAGAGCTCGTTCATAGAGTAGACAGCTTTCCCTCCCTTCATCTCCCTGTCCCCACAGCTTTGTTATTTAAAGTCAGGTTAAGGAAAGGAAAAAAAACAACCCACAGACAGGTTTGGCTGGGAAGCCCGAGGACAGGAAAAGTTAGAGATATTTATTTGACAGGGTCAAGGTTGGAGCCCCTCTCTCCTCTCTCCCCAGGTCCCATAGGTGTTAGGCTGAGAGACATTTAATCGCGGGAGTAGCGGTTTCATATCTATAACAAAAATCAAATAATGCAAGATGATTTACTCCCCCTAGCAACCGTGGAGCTCACCCTTAGCAACCAGGCTAGCCTCGGGCTGCGGTGTAATCAGCTTGAAAATATTTCAATTATTGTGTTGATTTTAGTGGATTTGAGAAGCGCTGTGTGGAGAGCCGGGCACATTCTCCCCGCGACCTGGAGAGGAAGATATTGATTTAAACAGGTGTCAGGGAGGGAAAGTAGAGTAAATTTAAATGCGACGGGAGAGCGGCACGTTGCACGCGGAACGGGGCGGGGATGACATTTTGCGCATTGCCTTGAACGAAAGTGACTCAACTGGACTAGAAATTTCACCTTGAAAATCATCTCCCATCGACACAATCAAACACCCCTACCACGACACCCCTGCATCCCCCAAGGCAGTAGGGAGGGCTGGAGTGGCAGCAGAGGGGACTCCCAGTGTCCTCAGGCTGTAGAGGCCTGGTCTCCTGCAGTATCCCCAGGAGGCCCTTTGGAGGGGCCAGGGGCACAGGCCCAGGGACCCGTGGCCTCCTGCCTCCTGGCCTCTGAGTCCCCCTCTGCAACCCAGGCAGGTGTTTCCTGAGGGCCCTGTGGCCTGCTGTCCCTCTGAGACCTCTGTGAGACCCAGCCATCACCTAGCTTCTTGGGCCCTGGCAACCAGAGGTCCTCCGAGTGCACAAACGTGGCTTGAGGACAGGGCCACCCCTTTCCTGCTCCCAGCTGTCCAGGAGGAAAGGAGGAGACAGGCCTGGCTGCCATACCCCCACCCCAGAAGTAGAGGCAGCCAGAGGGAGGAGGGCCAGGCCTGCCAGGCCCTGTGGTCTCAGCCCAAGGCTCCCCTGAGCCCCATCCTCCTCCTGAGACTGGAGGCAAACTTGGGCCAGGTGATGTGGTGCAGCTGTGCATCTTGGCTTCCCCCTTGAGCTGGTCCTGGGGTGGGGGTTTTGAGCCACTTCTGGTCTACATGACCCTGAGAACCCCAAATGGAAAGGTCCAGGACATGTTCTGGGTGCTCTCCTCTTCCTTTGAAGCTTCCCAATGTGGAGATGCTGGGGAGGCTTCTCTGTTTCCCTACCTCAGGCAGCTCTTCCTCTATGACCCTCAGGGTGGACAAGAAGGGCCTCTGGCTGGTACTGCCCAGGCTGGACAGGTGACCTCTTCCACGTCCAGAGCTGCTGCCCCAATAGGGCCCTGAGGGGCTGAGCACAGGCCTTCCTCGGGGCTGGACACTGACCAGGTCCTCCAGCTCCTCCTGCTGTGACAGCAGATGTAGCCAGGTGAGGTCAGGTGTAGCCCGGCTGACCTCAGTCCACATGCTGGGCACCAAGCCGAGTGGGGAGGCCAACCTCACCCAGCTCATGACCATCAGCTCCAGGGGCTGGAGGAGGAAGCATCCACCTGTGACCCAGCCTGGCAAGAGGACGGCCACTGGTGGACAGGAAGGACCTCAGGCCTCATGCACAGGGCCGCTCCAGGCCACCTCAAGGCAGTGCTGTAATAGCAGGTGGGGCCCTGGGGACAAGGATGAGTGAGGCCCTGGCCCAACCCCCAGGGGAACAAGGCCCAGAGGGACACATGTGAGGCGGGGTCTGAGCACCATGAGAGGGAGGGCCATGGCCATCTGGGTTCCATCTCCATAGGCTCCTGTCCAACCTCTGCTCCCTCAGGCCATAAACTGCCCCTGTGGGAAGACCCCCAGCAGCATCTCACCGCCCTGGAAGGAGACTGGCAAGCATGTACAATCTGTCCCTGTCCCCAGCCCCATACCTGTCCTCCCACCTAGTCTGCTTCCCCCTAAACAATCTTTCCCTTTCAGCCCTACGTGGCCTGTCCTTCCCTGCAACCCTATGCAATTGCCCACCTCCCTCTGACCATGGTCCTCTGCTGTGGCTGGACATTTAGGTCAGCCGGGCCACAGGGCTCTTGCCTCTGCTGCTCCCTGCTGAGAAGGCTTCTCTCAGCACTCTGCATGGCCTCTCCTCCACTGCCTCTCCTCCACTGCCTCTGGAGGTCCTTTTTATCCTCTGCAGTACTAGGGATTGAACCCAGGGCCCTCACACTGAGCTATATCCTCAGCCATTTTTATTTTGAGACTCATGAAGACTCACAGAGACTCATGAAGTCACTCAATCGTCCAGGCTCAAATCCATTAAGTCAATGCTCCTGCCTCAGCCCTCAAGAGTGCCAAGATTATAGGTAGGTGTCACCAGGCCTGGCTTTCTGAGAGGTCTTTTCTGGCCAACCTGGATAAAGCAGCTCCTTTTTCTTGTGCCTTGGCCTTATTTCTGATATGACACTGATCAGCACAGCACCTAGAACTGCCCAGGACAACCAGGTGGTACCTGCTGCCTGCTGCATGCCAGGTAACAAGGTGTGGGGCCAGGAGCCAGTGGCACCTGGTCAGAGGCCCAGAGTCTCTTGCAAAATTGAGCTGATTCACCCTTTCTGAGGTTTAGTTCTGCATCTGCAAGTGGGGGCCCAGGGTCCTCTGCCCGTCTCTCAGTGCTGCAGTAAGCCCTGAGTAGGTGGGGCTGGGAACAGGGCCTGGCCTCTCTCTTTCCACCCTTCACAGGAAGAGAACTTGAACACTGGTCTCCACGGTGACCCTGGACAGACACCGCAGCAGAAGACAGGGGCTTCCGAGGCCCCTGCACAGCACACAGGACTGGTAACCAGGGAGCTACTGGGGGGCAAGGCTTGAGGAAGACCCTCCCATCGTGAGCAGCTTGGGTCTGGATCCTGGAGTTCTGGGAAACAGGTGACAAGAATCGTGGCTGTGCCGCCAGATTTTCATGGGACCCCAGGCAGTTCCCCATCCTTGGGACACTCAGACGGCTCCACGGGGACAGGGACAGTTCTAGTGTTTACGGTCATTCCCACACTCACAAATGCATCTGATCCAGGCCCCAGGGACTCCTGGAAGTTGTTATCAGGTGTCATGTGCCTGTCACTTTCCAGGGGCAAGGCCCCCAGCTCTCACCAGGCTTCTCTAGGGGCATCTCTCTGTTTTCCCCCCAAACAACCCCAGAAGACCCGAGGTGGGCGACCCCACTCCACACCACCTGTAAGTGGGAGCCGGGCTGCCAGCCCATACCCCTCCAAGTATGCTTAATATGGGCTGGATTTACCACAAACACAGTTCTCCCTAGGTTTCCTGGCCCCTTTAGAAAAGCAATATGCCACCTAAATGTGTGTTTTTATTACTTTCTCTATTATAAGTAAAAATATTGTAATACCATCTGACGATCCACCAGCTGTCTGCGCAAACGGTGGGTGCTGTTCCAGGGAAGTTGGGCTGTGGGTGTGGGACCGCTATCTGGGGAGGGCACTCTTGGATTTCTGCTGAGACTGGCCCCACATATGCCAGGCCACATGTTCCTGGGCTGGGAGCGGATAATTGTGCCCATTTATCTTATGATAGCTGAAAGTGCAAACACTATAAAAGAGCGCAGTAGTGGTGGAAGGATGGAGGAGTGGGGTGCACACCAGCTCTGGAAGCAGCAAGGTGGATGCAGCCCTGGCCAGTACTGGGGGTTTGGGGGAAGAAATGACATGGCTATGGCCTGGGAAGGGACACAGGGAGATGGGTCACAGCCCCCTCCCCATCCTGATACCAGTGTCTGAGTTTTCCAGGTAGAAATCAACACCTGAGGATCTGGTGGGCCAGGGACAGTGGTAGGTCCCTTCTTGTCAAACAAATCTATGGCTAACAGTATTCAGGAGACACATACTGATGCCGAAGTATGGGAAACTTGACAATTTCTCAGTCTGGACCAGAAGTGGCCATGCAGGCTGAATCTGCCCAACAGGTATTTTCTAGGCAGTATTTTTTTTATTGTCATAAAATATATATGCATAAACTTTACTATTTTAACCATTTTTCAGTGTACCACTGGCACTAAGCACTTCACAGCATTGTGCAGCCAGTTACGCAGTATTTTTAACATTTTTAAAATCACTGCAGACATTTGGAAATCAGGAGGCTCCACACACTAATCTGGATTTTGGCTTCTCTTCCCAGGTCCAGACATCTGGCAACTCTGGGAGCAGGAGCTGGGCTGCGTCACACTCTTACCAATCCTAGGAAACCCCAGGGAACTCAGGATGCCCCTGGAATACACTCAGCCCTCATGCTCCCACTTATCTGAGGGGTGACCTTGAGCTCCCTGGGACAGGGAAGGGCTGGGCCCCCAGAAGAGGGCCAGTGGGTGGTCAATTTCCAGGTTCCCTGGGTGTTCCAGGTCCTCTTGCTCCTTGTCACCAAGGCAGCATCATCTGTGTGAATGTGACACACCAGGATGGATATTTCATCTCTCTCGTTCCCGCTGTCTCCCCGGCCCTGGCACACAGTACAGCAGGGGGCTCTCTTCCACTCATATATGCAGCCAACCTCACCAACCTACAAGATCTCTGTGGCCATGTGAGTCTGTGGCTCTGCTCTTCCCCTCAAACAACCATTTTACAAGGGAGAAGACTGATATCCCAGCTGTACCTTGCAGGGTGGAGACAGGTGGGAAGTGACCCAGGTCCAAGCCTCCACTGAGCCCCTCAGGCCAGCGATCACCCCCTCCCCAGCCTCACCATCCTTCATGAAGTCCAGACTTTGGGCATTACCCCATCCCCCAGGATAAAGCCAACTCAGGGCCTGACCTGCCCAGAAGGCTCGGGGGTCCAGCCATGCTGGCAGAGGGCTGAAGAGAGTGGCAGGTGGAGAAGCCAGGGGAAGGGGAGTGGGGCGCTATGGAAAAGGGGCCTGGCCGATCACTTTGATGTTCAGACCATGAAACTTCTCAAATTATAAGAGAGAATCACTTTTGAGCCTTTAAGTGGCTCCGAATAAACCAACTGTCCAAAGATACAATGAAAAACCGTCACCAGCTCTCAGTAACAAGGCAGGAAAAATTGTCAGTGCTGCGATGAATATTAAAAGCCCCATCTGTGAAAAACACCCTGGAAATATGTCTCAGAGGAGCCAGGCGGGAGGTGCTGGAGAGGCTGGCCGCCTAGAGGCCCCCACCCAGGGCAGGGCAGGCAGTGGGAGAGGAGACAGGCACCCGGGGAGCTGCGGGTGGCATCCATCCGAGAGCAGAGCCAACCCACCTGGGCTACAGGTATGGAGGTCCTGGGCCCCCCCGCACGAGGCAGCCCCAAGAAGGGGGAGGCCAGCCCCCCACTTACTGTGCCCTCTGCCAGGGATGGCAGGAGACAGGAGCTTATCCCCACCCTCCCACCACAGCCGGGCCCTGCCTGAGAAGAGGTGACCACGTTAGACCCTGCCAGCCCCAGGAGACCCTGGAACCATCCAGCCCCGGCTCTGCCACTTCCTCTTCAGGAGCCTTTGGCCACCTCACCCCCTCTGTGGACCTTGGTTTCCTGGACAGGGCTGGGTGGGGGGCTGAAAGTTCGGGGGGATGTTGCCCCCCATAGAAAGCAGAGGGGACCGTGTGAAATGCCCAGGCCTGGACCCCAGGGACATAGGCTCCTGCTAGGGTCGGGGCAGGAAGAAGGGAGGGGGCCATAAAGGAGAAGCCCCCCGGATACCTTCTGGGCCCAGTATCCATATCCTGGGGCCCTCCTGCCCTGTACCTTGCACGCACCCCTGGCTCCTCCATGGCTGCCCACCCCGACCACATCATCTCTCCCTGCAGCCGTGGCCCCCGCCCCCCAGCTTGGTGCCTGGTTGGGGTTGGGGGCAGCAGAAGGGGTCTGGCTGCTGCTCAGAACCACCACAGAGGAAGGAGGCCATAGGTCCCCACGTTCAGGGTGCTAAAAGCTAGTGACACTTGGGCTCCGTCGCACACAGGCCTGCTAATGACACCTGGGCCACAGGTCTTGAATGGACACTTGGGAAAGGTGGGCCAGCCGTACCCCTGCTCTTATGCAGGGCCACCCACTGAGGAGGTCCCTCCCAGGCCCAGCTGCTTCTTTGGGCTCTCTGAGGGGTGGTGGAGGGGAGGAGTCCCTGCTCTGCCCGAGTCTGCCTTCCCAGCCCTGGGCAGTGGGGATCTACAAAGCTGTTTGCATGAGTGGCATTTCTCAGCAGCAATCCCAGGTGGTCCCACAGACCACCCTATCCCCAGGAGAACCAAGAGCCAGAGAAGGGGCCAGGAAGCTGCAGCAAAGAGGCTGCTGCTCAGGTCACCTGGCAGGGATGCAGGGGATTCCAGGCTGAGACCCAGGCTCCTCGCTTCTGGACAAGAGGCCCAGAAGCACAGTGCCCTGCCCAGGACCAGAGCCCTCCCCAGCTCTGCAGCCCACTCCCCCTCTGAGGACCCAGAAGAGCAGGGCAGGCACCGAGGTTCTGGAGCCCAGTGCAGGCCGAAGCCACCACCTCATGTTGTCCTCCAGCTGCCTTCCTTGTAATTAAGAGCAAACTTTGTAGCAATGTCTCCTTTAGCTGTTGTCTTACCCCGCCTCCCAAATGATAAATTGTTAATGAGCACCTGTTACAATGCTAATGAAAGTGAGATCCGTATGTAAATAAAGAAAATTTAATAACTTAACAAGGTGGATTAAAATGCCCAACCTCCTCAGCAGCTAATCTGGGCCAAACACCGAAGGGTTGCCATCTAAGCAGGAGCTGCGGTTAATGCGTTCACCTCGGCACACTTTCCAAAATATAATTAATATTTTAAAAATTTATAAAACTGAAATCAGAGGTCTTGATTGTAACAAACAAAATATCCATCTTTAATCTGCTACCCGAGGCCCAGCTGCGGTCCCCCCGCCCCGACCCCTCACCCAGTCCTCCTCCTCAGAAAATACCAAACAAGATGCAACCCAAGCCACAGAGCAGCTGGTCCACACAGGCGGCAGAGTGCAGCAGGGAACCCTGAGCTAGCAGTCAAAGCTCTGGGTTCAAATCTCAGCTGCAGCCCAAACTCTCCTAGGTCTCTCTTGCACGCTCCCTGTGTGGTGGGCTGGCCTGGGCTGGGCTCTCCTCACCTGCCATTCTACAGCAGATCCCCCCTATCTCCAGCCCTGCCTGCGGGCAGTCCCCAGAGCAATGGCAGCCTCGGTGAGGGGCTGAGGTCTGTCTGGCTCAGCCTGGATTCCAAGCCCAAAGAAGAGTTCTGAAAACCTGTGGGACCTGGCTCAGATGCTGGGGGAGCAGGTTAGAGCAGCTGGGAGCTTGTGGGTTTCCGGCCCCAAACTGCAGGCTCCTCATTTCACAGAAGGGGTCGCTGAGGCCGAGAGGGCCTTGCATTGCCCAGATTTTCACAGTTCACTGAGGAGGGCTAGACCTGACTCAGCAATCCCTGACCCCTCTCGGGGGTGTCTTGGGGATGTCAGCCAGCCTCAGTGAGCCTCAGGTTCACCCCCTGGAAAGTGGGGGTAATGGTGGTGCCCACCAGGCAGGGGCCAATGGCTATGTATTTATTTACTGGGGTTTTTTTTTGGTACTGGGGACTGAACTCAGGTCCTTGCACTTGCAAGTCAGGTGGCGGAAACACTGAGCTAAATCCCCAGGGCTGTATTTATTTATTTTTGCTACATCCTCAGCCCTTTTTATTTTTATTTTGAGATGGGGTCTTGCTAAGTGACTCAAGTAGGACTGAAACTTGTCCTCTTGCCTTAGCCTCCCAGGGTGCTGGGATTATAGGCCAATGCTACTACACCCAGCTTCCCCTGGCTCTTAGCCCTCTGTGGGGCTTCAGCCTTGACGGAAAGGGACCCCCAGGGTGGGGTCTGATGAGGTCAGTGGGGACAGCTCCAGGATACTGGACGCTGTGGGGAGCTTATAGAGCAGCACCATCCACATCAGGGATCTGCTGCCCACCCAGCAGCGCCCCACCCTTCCCCAGCCCCACTGGGAACAGCGGCCAAGCCGTGTGAGGCATTGGCCTTGACCCATCGGGAATGTGGGTGCCTATCGGCAGGGCTGGCCATTCTGAGGCAGCCCTGGCAACGGCATGAGTGATCAGCAGAGGTCACCTGAAGTTATTCTCATGGTAAGGCCTGAGGTGGAAGGGACAGCAAACTGCATGGGATGTGACTTCCAGGGTCAGGGATAGAGTCCTCCATGAGGACCCTCTCCTTAGTCTCACAGGGGCTGCCTTCCCGCTGACTGGGATTATGAAGGAGAGCCCTGCACCGGGCGAGCGGACAAGGACTGGATGGCACTCAGCAACTCTGCCTGGCCCTATCCCTCCTTGCCCAGAGGAGATCGGTCTCTATTATGCTCCTGCTGTGTGCTTGTGAGTATGCACATGGTCCTGTCCCAGGGCAGCCCAAGGAAAGGCCTCGCCCTTCCATTCGGCCTGGGGGGACAGATGACAAGTAAATGAACACAACAACCCAAACCGTAACGGGTCCCAGTGGTGACACAGGGTAAAATCGAGAGGCTCTGGGGCACAGTGACTGGGCAGGCAGCACTGTCAGGAAGAACAGACAAGGTGACCTCTGAGCAGAGGCCTGAGTGAAATGAGGGAGCAAACCAAGCAGGCATCTGAGGGAGAATGTTCCACTGAAGGATGCACTGGTGTTTGAGAAAGGCTGGGCTCCAGTGAGCCCTGCAGTTTGGGTGCCCCTGGGGCATCGGTGGGGGGAGGTCGGGGGCAGGGCAGCTGAGGCCTGGGGGCAGGGCAGCCTCCCTCCCACCGAGGGCCTTCGCCCCTGGCTGAACATGCTGCCAGCACCATGAGCCTAGGCCCCAAGATGTGGTTGGTGCATGAACCTGAGCCCCCTGCCCACTGCTTCTGATCCGCCAGCAATATAATGCATCACCGTGCCACCTACGTCCAGCCATTTCTCATCGCTTGACCTCACTTTTAATTAGAGACTAAATTATTCATGCCGTTTGATGGGAGACTGAGTGCTGGGGAGGTGCCTGTGCCCTGGTCGTCTCAGCCAGACTACAACAGCCCTTTGAATCAAACCTAAGTGGCCAGGAGGAAAACAACTAGCCCATGCGCTGGCATGCCTGCTGCACCCTCATCATCGCCCACCTGGTGCCAGGACTCGACTCAAGGCTTTGGCAAGAATCTAGGCAGCCGGGGGGCCCTCTCTCCAGCTCCCTAGTCTGCCCCCTTCAGAAGCGGAGGAGCTGGGCTCGGTGATCAGGTGTGGCTGGGACTCGGTGCCCCCAGCCCACCAGGGCTCGGCAACACCCTCCTGGGCCTGGGAAGCCTTCAGAAGTCCACAGTGGGGAGAAGACGCCACTCCAAGGAGAGCAAGAACCCGCCCAACACCTGTACCCCATTGCCCTGCCATCCTGCATCTCCCCATCACACCTGCCTTCAGCTCCAGACTCAAATGTTCAGTGAGCACGGCTGGGTCAAGGGCACGACCTGGCCCACACTGCCAGCACCTAAAGGATCACGGGAAAGAAACACTATGCTGGGGCCTGCAGGGGTGGGGGGTGCATCGTGGTGTAGCCAGGTGATCCAGGACAAGAGTGATACAACTCTGTCCCCCATGGGGACACACAGCAGGCTTGGGGCACTGTGCAGCCCAGAGTGGGAGGATGGGAAATCCATCAGACCCCAGGAGAACTTGGGGTGGCCCTCCTCCCCAAGGTGGCTATCAGCACCCCCATATCATAGAGAAGTAAGCTGAAGCTCCGGGCAGATTGGGACTTGCTTGAGACCACGTAAGGCGGGACTAAGAGTGGCCTTTCCACCATCGCAGGCCCTGTCTTGGTACTGGGTCCTGGGCCCTGAGAGATTGAATCTCAAGGGTCACAGGCACCCACCCCACTCTGCACCCCAGCCTGGACTCAGCCCTGCACCCTCGCCTCCAGATAGCCCTCCTTCCCAGCCCAGATGGTGAGGGTGCCCTGACACAGGCCAGCTGCAGGCCCCCATAACTGCCCAGCCATACCACCGCTGTGAGGACCTAGGACTCATCTCAGCAAGCCCTGCAGCTGCTTAGATGATTTTTTCATGTGATTCCTGAGCCAGGGGAGGAGTGGGGAGGGGACCCATACCTGCTCCTTGGTCACGGCCTCAGTGATGGGGACACCAGAGGCAGGGAAGGCTGGTCTCTCTGCAACACAGTCTCTGGGACAGGGGCCCTGAGGCTGGCTGAGGTCTCCTGGGCAACAAGAGGATGAGGCTTGCTGCTCTGCAGGAGCAGAATGGTCCCTGGGCAGCAGGAAGATAGAGGAGGGGATAGGAGCTGTTCTCAGTCTCAAGGTCTATGCCCTCCACAGCCACTTCCAACATTCCCACAGTCTCCAGGCTCCAGTGCAAGATCCCAAAGCCCCTCCTTGGGGAGGGGTCTGGCTGTAAGTTCTCTCACTTCTGCCTTTGAATCCCTGCTCAGCCTCTGCCCAGCTGTGTGTCTTCAGGCAAGTGTCTGAACCTGTCTGAGCTTCTGCATCCTCCCGTGTGAAATTATGGGGAACCTCTTTCAACCTCTCAGGGGTGCCCCCGGGGGGAGGGAGTCAGGAGGCCTGAGAGAGACCTTTATGTGGAGTACAATCCCTAAGGCTGGCTTCTGTACTGCTGCTGGGAGGGAAGAGACATCTGGAAAGGGGCTGTGGGGACATGGGGACCTCCAAACACAGAGGCTCTGGGTGCTGGGAGGAGGAGGGTCCTGGCTGGAACATGCAAGCCGCTCCCTCTGTCCAGCCCACACTGGCTTTCCAGCCTACTCGTCCCACACACAGCCTCCTTTGTCCCAGGCTTTGTTGGGAAGGGGGTCGGGCAGTGTTCCCACAGGCCCCCTGGTCAGTCTGAAGAGGAGTAAATCAATCTGTGCTGGTAAGGGCCCAGAGGGTCACTTGGAGACTGGGGTGTCCTGCTGGGGCTTGGGCTCCTGAATTGTCCACACAGAGCACCTAGGAATTTGCCCTTCTCGCTGCAGTATTCAGAAATCAAATAAATTAAATGAAACAAGATTGCTCTAATATGCCATCCCCGTAGCGTCATAGTGCTAAATGACAGATGTTTTGCTCTGAAAAGTGGCTCTAATGCTTGTGCTGTAACTTAACCTCAAATGATTTCAGCAGACATCAATAGGGGGGCCTCGTAGACACCACAGGAAGGAGGCGTGGAGGGGCAGCTGGCTTGGGGCCTCCTGGGGGCCCCCCTCCTGCATGTAGGACGGCTCTGGGAATGGCCTGAAAAGCAGGTACTGCAGGGGGAGGGTCTGGGACACTGGGCAGCATCTGGTGGGAGAGGTCACGGGGTTAAGGGTGCCCAGCACAGAACAGGATATAGAGGAAGCACCCAGGGAGCTGGAGGCCTGGTCCTGGACCAAGGTGGCCAAACCACAAGGTGCCCCGTACTCCTGAGATCTCAGGTCCTCCTCCAGGAGATGCCTCACCACAAGGATCCTCACCCTGGGGTCCTGATCCAACAGCCAGATGACCTCTGAGCCCACATCTTACCAGCCACTCGTAGGCTCCATAACATTGTCTAACCCCAAACCCAATGACATTTATACAATCACTTCCGAAACAGCTGTTCAAATCAGACACCTTGTTACTCAAGGCAGGGGCCATGCAATGTCTGCTTTTCTTTCTTCCTTTCCCTCAAAGCATGGTTTTATTTTTACA